TTTTTTTTTTTTAATTTAACAAAGACATCTACAGTCACATTGACAGAGTTACCTGAAACAAAGCTTCAGTCAAGAAAAAAAGTGAAAATCACCAGAGGAAAGGAGCATTCTTTCAGAAGTGCCCATGCTTTTACCTTCTTGACATAACCAAAGTTCAGAATACACCTTTTTTTAAGTGTCCTGCACAGAAAAAAATCAGCTTATATACTGATCCTTTTGGCCAGCATCCTCTGCTGCTGTTAACCTTGGGAGCTGTACAAATAAAAACCCATTTAGAATTTGAAAACTAACACTTACAGAAAAGTATCTTTAAGATAACTACATAAATGGAGTCATCAAATACTTAACAAGAAACTCAAGAAACTCAAACTCAAAAACCTGACTCCTTTTTAAAAGCAGTCAAACAAGAACATCCTTGTGAACTTTTCAACAGAAAGGATTCATGCATTTTCCTCGGCAAGCAAAGATGCTTCAGAAGTAAAAGAAAGCAGATTGATTTCAATTTCAATAACTTAATATCTTAAAGGACAACATATTAGTCTTAATTTTAAAGTAAACTTTTGCTAGGGAAATTAATCTTCTCACTCACTCAACAGTTTATATAGACATTGGTGTTTCAAGTGAGATAATTAGGGCTCAGAGACTAAGTAGTTCAGCAAACATCTACTTCCACCTGGTCCCATTCCTAATTTTTGATGCTGCATAAGTTACATCCTGCCTATTATCTAAGACATGCTGTAAACAGCACCAACAGATGGTGAATTCTACAGCATACCAGCTATCTTCATAGCAGGGATTGCTCGATAATGGAAAGAAACCCTGAAAACTAGAGAAAACTGAACAAGTGTTCTGAAAGATGCAAAGAAGCTGACAAAAAGTGGCTCTGCTGCCAACACATCAGGCACGTTTTGTTTTTCACATAGCCTTTCAAAAAACAAAAACACATTCACTGGCAATAAGTGAAAACACTTTTCATTCTCAGCAAAATACTCAAAGTCTCACAATGTCTCAGTAATCAAATCACTTAAGATTTCCACAAGTCAGCACCACAAGATATACTTCAGCTAATATACGTTTATTTTCCACTAGAGCTTCATTAGGCATTCTAAAATACAAGCAGTGGAAAGTCACGATACATATGGAGACCAGAACAAAAGCAGCCTCTGGCATCATCCTTTGTATATAAGCTTTTTCCTCAGAAAGACTTGTCTGATGTTTAATACCTGGCCTCTAGCTGAGACTGAACATTTCCGTCAGAATTACTGAGCTTACAGTGGTCAAAGGATGACAGTAGGATGCACAGTTACACACCTCTTAGTTAACTTGCTAAAACAAGTATGCACGTGCAGTGCTAAATAAGTTCTGGCCTTAACCCAATCAGGTCTTACCATTCAAGATGCAGTATCAAGTTACCTGTTACACATCATTTCTTAAAACTTGATACATCACATTAATGCTCTCTCCAAGTCAAAACATTGTGGTCTACTACACTGTTTCATAGTTAGATTTCATTTTCTATTTGTATTACATTTTCAAGAATAAATCCCTTCTGGTACTGTATAAGCCCTTCTTCAGAGCTCTTTTTTGTTTTAATAATAGAGAATGCACCTTTTTTTCCCCACAAGTGTTTTCTTATTTTCAACACAACACTGAAGTACTTCCAAATTCACTTCTGTAGTGTCATTTCTACTACAGTACAAGAACAAAATGCTGTTAATGTAAGCTTTTGCAACCTCCACATGTTTTCCCCAAAGCATTCAGTCTATGTCAGGTCAGGACAAGGGGAAATGGTTTTAAGTTGAGGGAGGGAAGATTTAGGTTGGATGTCAGGAGGCAGTTCTTTACAGAAAGAGTGGTGAGGTGCTGGAACAGGCTGCCCAGAGAGTTGTGGATGCCCCATCCCTGGAGGTGTTCAAGGCCAGGTTGGATGGGGCCCTGGGCAGCCTGGTCTAGTATCAGATGTGGAGGTTGGTGGCCCTGCATGTGGCAGGGGGGTTGGAGATTCATGATCCTTGAGGTCCCTTCCAACTCTAGCCATCCTGTGATGTTGCAGGTCATTATTCTGCAGTTATTCCAAGAAACTTAAATAACTTCTTTCTTTCTGGAACAACAACTAAATTCAACGATGACTGAAAAAAAGTAATCTTTTAGCATGGCTAGATGTTTTATCTTCTCTACAGTATGGAATCACGAAATAAAGATTGACGTGTGTTTTCCCCTTTCAAATTGAAAATATGTCAATACTTGGCAACATTTGGAAAGAGTTACAATCTTGTCATACACTGCACAAACAGCATACTTGGGTGCAGAGGGGAGGTTGTGGGAAGAGGATAGGAGAAAAAGAAAGATCTGTCAGTGCACAGCTCTTTACCACCTCCACAAATGATAACTGCATTCTATATAAAACACATCCTCCCCAACACAAAGAAGAAAGTATTCTCTGAAAGCAAGTCTAAACTTCCAACATTTTAAGTTAATCAGCATGAGAGATTAGAGGTCCACAAAAGGTTTAATACTAAAATCACTTGCAACTTGCCTTTCTGTTTTGTTTCTGGGTTGTTGGTTTTTTTTGTTTTTGTTTTTGTTTTTGGGTTTTTTTGCAAAGAAGTGGATGAAATAGTAGTATTGATTTGTAGGAACCTCAAGCTTGACCCAAGCAGCTGCCTTGGACCATTATGTAGCTAACCTCTTGTCAAAGACCGCTGCAATACAGCAGCATTGACTATAAAGAGGACAAAGCAGCCTTAAGACCAAATCATAACTTGACCATAAAGCTTGTGCAGACATTCCTTGTGGTTTCAGCCTTGCTCCCTCTTCTGAAGTGGGATTTGCTTCAGATTCATGGCCTAATAATGCAACATACTACCAGGAAAAGGACCCAAAACATCATACAAAAATGTATCCAGTCCTCTAGGAGAAGATAAATGATACTCAGGCTTAATATTTTGCCATTTTTAACTGAAAGACAACAGAATAGCAGCAATTACAGTAGTAAGTAAAGCTTCAAAAGGAAGTTAAGCAGAGGATAAAAGGGCAAAAAAGTCATTTCTCAAAGGAAGCAAATAGCTAATTTCCAAGCAGTGTTTAAAAAGTAGAAAACACTATTTGAAAATTGAACATGACATTTCAGATCTTAAAACTGAAATTTTCATTCTGAAATGAGTTTGCTGTGTTTTTCGTATTTGCTAGAAAAACTTCATATATTCTAAAATATTCTGTTAGTGAATGCTTGCTCTTGTGAGTAACTGAAAGTAATAAGCTTTTGAACAAATGTGAAACAAGTGCTTATTTTCACCCTCAGATCTTAGTTGTTTTCGTTTTCAGAAGTAGGACACGTACTGAGTCAAGAGTCAGAGTAAAGGTCCCCCAATTATCCAATTCAGAAGCTTGCAAGAATATCTATTTTAAATCCCATAGACAGGATAACAGAGCATTTCAAATTGGAAAAAGCTGTTGTAGTTTTCCATTGTGGCAAGAGATCACATCATAGATTTTAAATATGCACTAAAGAATGTTATTAAGAATACAAAAACTATGTTTTTAAAATGTTGTAGTCAAATTCTTATCCAGCCCACTAAAAAGAATACCACATTTATACTCTGTACTTCTCAAGCCACAGTAATGGCATAGCCATGATTTCCAGTAAAGTTTGGTGTTACATTTAGTTGTATAACACTACTAATCACAGGGTAATTTCAACAATAAATATTTGGTTACACTCTGCTTTGTCATCAGTGCAAGTAATTTAGCTGAAATTGATCACTCAGAGAATCCAAACTCCTCTTTTAGAGACTATTTTTATTTTCTGGTAACTGAAAGTCTTTTCCTATAGAACGTTTCTCCAGAAATAGTGCTTTGCAAACAGAAAACCACAGAGACAATGTCAGAAGCAAAATGGAAGATTCAAATCTAGAGCAGTAAGGCAATTCATAGTTGCTTTTAAACTGTCCTTAGCTAACCCTACTTTACTACTCAACACCAAAGTCTAACAGTGACCTTACAGAGCACACAGGCTACGTCGCTTCATAACAATTAGGTAAATTAAAGTCAAGTTATATCACACCATTCTTCAGAAAGAAAAAAAATTCTGGGAAGAAACAAAAACACAGAAGAATGAGCACCACTGTAGCTATTATATCAAGTAAAACACACAACCCCAGAGATGCTGACAGTCTCTAGTTTTACTGAAATACTCCTGCAATGCTCCTTTACAAGATCTCTGAAGAGCCAGGCTACTGTTAATGAACAGCAGTATCTTACCTCTATTAAAAAGAGAACTAAGAAACCAAAATTAAAAAAACAAACATCTACCTGCTTCTGAGAATATTCAGAGACAGTCAATCAGTATTTACTCAGGAGGTCAACTTAATAAGTCAGGCCTTCATAGCATCTCATATAATTGAGTCCAGGCATCATCTGTTACCAACCCCCAAAGAAAACTGTGATGTGCAGAGCAGAGGGTAGGCACCTGAACTTCTCAGACAACCTCAAAGACTCCCTACAATCAAGTGATGTGCTCTGATAAGATCCAGACCCAGCACTGCTCCAAAAACTAGGGGACAAAAAAAAAAAAACAAAACAAACACAAAGCACAGAACAAAATGGCTATTTTTTGACTACTCTGTAGTTAGTAATCTATGTTCTGTTGATATGACTTTCACACATCCTGTAAATCTTTACAACATACTCAAACACATAGTGAGCATTAACATGGAAATCAGTTGCTAGCAGAGTTACTTTCACACAGTAGTTCATAACACAAACACTGTAATTCAGAAATCAATATTTGCTAGAAGAAAAAATACTCACTGTACTGTTAATACGCTGCTTTCTGTGAAATATTACAGAACTGCCACATTCAACAGTTTAAGTTTTACACATTAAAAGCAAACAAGTTCATAAGAATTTTAAACAGCCCACAGAACTGCTGTTATTCAGAATGTTTTTACTCAGATAATTTTCTGGTATTAAAAATAAAGACAACAAAAGTCACAAGTTACCTTTAACACCACTGGAAGTCTTGAAGACTTGTAGAATGCGATCCAACTATGACAACTGGATAACAGCCTGATGTCTTCTTGATCTAAAACAGAATACAGACTTAAATTTCTAGTCAGAGTAATCGTCTTCCCACCAACGAAATGATTTGGAAAAACATAAGAGTTAACTTGTTAAAAATAAAAATAAAAAGAAAGATATTTTTCATTTAAGCACTTCAACACCCTGCAAATACTAAGGAGGTGACAACCACAAATTTAACTTGCAGTTTCATTTTTAAAGTCTCTTCAAAAACTGCATGGCAGTTTAACTCCTTCAGTCAAAAAGAGACTTTTTCTACAGAGAAAGAAATAACCCCTCACAATTTCAAATAATCGAAATGCAGTTTGATTACGTGTGCAATGCAGGCCATAACACAGTCACACACTCCCACAGGCCCCTTTCCTACTTCCACGTCTTTCCTTATGTCTAGCATACAATGAGCAACTTTTCAGCTTTGCTTTTCTTGGGTTCATTCTGCCTTCTATAGGGAAGAAAACTCACCTCTCCCTCTTCATCTCCCCCAAAAGCATATAATCAGCTCCAGAACAAAACTACCATTTGAATTAGTGCATCTTTTTCTAGAAAGCACTTGATTTTACTTTAAAAATATCTAGAAACAGCATATACACTATATAATACAATCTTTGATAACATTTTTACCCTACTGAAATCTACAAGTGATAAACTAAGATAGAATAAACTGAGTGATAATCTCACATTCTTTCAATTATGAGGGTGGTATTGTGTACTACAGCTAAGCAGCACAAACTGTTTAGATTTGTTTTCTAGTCAGTGAACCATTTCATAGCCACATTACCCAAGCTTGCCCATGTTACAGGTACATCATCTATCTCTGCTGACAGTGACAGGGCCCAAAGGAAAGCTGTGACATTGTGTTAGGGGGTTAGTTTGGGTGTCAGGAAATGGTTCTTCAGCAGGGGGCAGCAGGCATGGAACAGGCTGCCCAGGGCACTGGGCACAGCCCCAGGTGTCAGAGTCGATGGAGTATTTGGACACAGCTCTTAGAAACACTATTTGATTGTTGGGTGGACCTCAGAATTGGACTTGTTGATCCCTGTGAGTCTCTTCCAAATCAGGATAGTCTGTGTTTCTACGACCTATCATTCTTTACTCTACTTCCTCCCCTTTTCATAGTTGAACAGATTGACACATTTCCTAGTTCTTGCAATTCTTTAAAGTATTCCCAATTATATACAAAAATGATATTCTAAGAGTAATATCTCATTGCCAGAAGTAAAAGCAGAATTAAAAAAAAATATATATATATAATGGAATCCTGTAAGGACCAAATTCAGAATAGAATGATATGATCTTGGCACATTTTATATGCTGCTTATAAAACTAGTTTGAAATTATTTGAATAAGAACTTACAGCAATACGTCCTTTAAATGTCTTAAAACATGCCCAGAACACTTTCCTATGATCCATGCTCCTCATTCTTAAATACATGACTCAGGAAGAGGCCACATTTTAAAAAAAAATGTACATTTTTACCTATATCCATACTCATTAAATGAGTCAAATCATACTGAATGTAGTAATTCATACTATGAAGTTATATATTAATAAATGAAGTTATTCTTCAGGTTGCATCCCCAAATGAGAGTGATTTAAGCCTACAGTATTGCCACTGAGATCCCAGTAAGACACCAACAGGTCAGACTGGTTTCAGAGAAAAACCATTATTTGCTCCTACCATTAAAGCCATAACAAGAAGTGGTAATAAGAATTATACTTCTTATGGATTAATTGCAATTGCTGAGGACTTACCAAATCAGAGGTGGAACAAAAAGTATATTTCTGAAGAAATGAGACTTGTAAGTCTACGCTGTGCAGCCCTAGCTGTTAAGTCTAAACTCTCCCTCTTTTCTCACTTCAAAATGTACACATGGGATACAAACTTCTGCAAGTCCTGTCTAGATCATTATAAGATGCATTATTACAGTGCAAAATCCTCTGCCACGGGTACACGCTGTCAATACAAGTTCTGAGATACACAGCCTCTGAAAACCAGGAAGGAAAGGCCTATTCTAAGCTCAAAGGGAACTCAACTCAGCAGAAAGCTGTAATTCATGCAAGAGAGCTGCTCAACTTCTCATCATAGAGAAAACAGCACAGTAAGCAGAAATGGAAACGTTGGAAGGAGGGCATCAGCTGAAGCAGAACACTTCAGTGGAATACCCTTTCATGTAACACGGGATGGCACAAAGGAGGGTCTGCCCAGCAACAGGTTGGCTCTGGAGTTTAAGGACAGAGTTCATTTCCTACTCAAAACTTTAAAACTTCGCGCCAAAGAATGCAGCTGTGCTTTTTGAGTATTTCCTATTACAGAAATACATCATTTCAAACTCTCCAGGTCTAGAAATATACAAGCCTGTGAGAATTTCCTGAAGGCTGTTCTGTAGAGCTATGGGCGTATAGCATTACTAATGCTCTGGTAGCACACATGCTAGCAGACAAGAAAATGAGGCAGTAAAGCTAAGTAAAGCACTACATGTCAAGGAAAGAGCTATAAGTGATATGTTTTTAATTAAGAACTGGTCTTGGGCAGCTTTACAAGAAGCAAAGCCATCTTAAGCGCCCTGTTTACTAGCCATTCCTATCAAAGCACCTCAACACCAGTTTATTCACTGGCTAGCTGTCGCTTATTCCCAACCAACGGTTTTATTTCAGAAGCTCTTTCAGGAAATCATAATCATTAAGATGACCAAAATCTCAAACCATCTCCTTTTACAGACCTCCTTTACGTCTCAGCGGTCACATACAGAACACCGGCTCCTCAGCCCGTTCTAGTCACACACACCTACCCTTTCATTTCCACACCAGGTGCCCGCATTACGTGCAGCCCTCGCTGGGTGGAAGCTCAACTAATGCAGATGAGGACACATCTGGGGACGACACCCGATCCCCTTCCCCGCCTCGCAGCCTGGGCCGGGAGGGCAGCACGGCCAGCCCCAGCCGGCCGCCGGCGGTGGGACGGGCTCCCAGGACCCGGCAGGGAGGCCGGAGGCAGCGGCGGCGCCGCGAGGGAGATTCGAAACCAATCTCCGAAAGAGCGTTAACGGCCTCCGAGCGGCCGCCACAGGGGCCGGGGTGCTCGGCGAGCCCCGGGCCGCAGCCACCGCGCCGGACACGCTTCCTCGGAGCCGCTGCCGCCCCCTGCCGTCCCCGCTCCACCCCTGCCGGGCCCCGCTCTGACAGCCCCCAACCTCCCGCCTCCCAGCCGACGCCCGGGGCCGAGAGCGAAGCGAGAAGAGAGGAAACAGGCAGCGCTGCCCCCGAGGCGAGCAGCCGGCCCGGCCCCGCCCGCGGCCTCCGCGTCCCGCGGCGGGAGAAGCGGGGAGAGAGCGCCAGCGGGTCCGGGGCTCGGCGGCCCCCGGCCGCGTCCACAGCCCGCACACGGCGCCGCGACCGCTCCGCGTTCCCCCCGGCTCCATCCCCCCCCCGGCTCCGCTCCCCACCGCCAGCTGAAGGCGTCGACCCACAGCGGCTCCCCACCGGTACCTGTCGGCCAAACGGCCGCCGCGCGCCCGCCACTCACGTACGAAATCCAAGTTCCCAACCGCAGCCGTCAGCCCAGCCCGGGAGAAACCCCCGCCGGCCCCGCCCCCCGGCCAATCCGCGCCCCGCCCGTCCCCGCGCCCCGCCTCCTTCCAACCCCTCGGCCCCGCCCCCGAGTCGGGCTCCGCCCCGCGCCCCTCACCCCGCCGCCATTGGCTGAAGCGCCCGTCGATCCTCAGAACGGGTGCTCCGCTACGGCCCCTCCTGCGCTGCCGCCAACGGCTGCTGCGCGTCTGGGCTGGGGGGGTTCGGTGTTCGCTGCCCGGCCTTGTCCGGTCGGCGGTTGTTTGATTGCCTGTGTTAATCTTTCCGTTCCAGCTTTCTCCCAGCATAGGAAAGGCGAGTTAAGCTTTGGGCAGAGAGGTAATGGTCAGGCCTGCGCTTGGTGCATGTGTGTACAAGAAAGACGAGGCTGAGAGAAACATAGCAGTAACAGGTGTATAAAATCTGTGAAGTAGACAAGGCCTCTCCTAACTTTGGTCTTTTTTGTTTTGCTCGTTAAGAAAATTATTTGCAGCACACAGTCACACTGAATTTACAAAGCCCAGAACGCAGTGTCTGCTGCCTGTACAACTTCATCATTTTTATGCATTGTCGCAAAATCACAGAATCATTACAGTTGGAAAACACCTCTAAGATGGCCTAGTCCAACCATCTGCCCATCGCCACCATGCCCAGTAACTCAAAAGCCACATCCACACCTATCTTGAACTCCTCCAGGGATTCCACCACCTCCCTGAGCAGCTACTTCCAGTGCCATGCTTCTACTTCAGAGATGAATTTTTTTCCTAATTCCCAACCTGAACTTCCCCTGATGCAACCTAAGGCCATTCCCATTCATCCTATTATGACCTGAAGTTAACCAAAAGCTTCTCACCTCCCTAAGAACACAGAATAGATTTTCTGGTTTGCAGCAAGCTGTGCAGTAAAGTAAACAATTTTCTAGGTAACCTCTGTGTCATGATAGAGAAAACTGGAATAAAAAGATAAAAAGAAGAGAAAGAGAAGTATTATGACTAAGGCTCTGAGTGTTCTTTAGGGAATTCTAGGAAAAAAAATCCTTAGATCTCTAAACATTCTTTGTCAAAAGTTTCTGTGTAGTGCTATGCGCCATGCATCACTTGAGCCACGTTTTTTGAGGAAGTGGAGGGATATGCCTTCACAGTGACAGTTTTAGCATGCCAGGTTCTCAATTATAACAGCTTACTACTGGAAATGAAGTCAACAGGCAATATGCCATAAATACTTCCATATTCATACTGTAAGTATTTCATAATATTTAAAGTGGAGGAATCAAGTCCTGTTTGATGCTTCAGAAATGGGAGTGCTATTAAAGGAAATTAATGTGAGCACCCAAGAGCAACAGGCCACCAGCAATGACCAGAGTCTAAGTAGAATTTGATATGTATGCTTAATTCATTAATTCAGCATTGTTCATTCCACACACAGTCAAGAAGACCAATAATTAAAGAGTGAGTTATAATGCATGTGCACAAGCAGTTTTAATTCTGGTATTTACTAGGAATATTACTTGATGTTGTAATCTTCATGTTTCATTATAGCAAATAATTTCAATAAATCTAACTAAAGATTTTTCAGTATGACTCCATCCATATTCAAAAACAGATTTTTTTTTTTAAAAAGCCTTTGACTCTTTTAAAGAGGGGACGGAGTACCACTTTTCTTTTTCAAGAGAATCCATCAGTGTGGTTCTTTCTTTGATACAGCAGATGTTACAGTTATCACAGCACAACCTGGTTTAGGATTGTACTTCTGGACAGTTTTTATATGCACAACAATCTCCAAAGCTGTATTTATCATCTTCTCTGCCTTATTCTTCAGGGGCTTTAACATGAGGGAAAGACAGCCAAACATTCTTCAGTTCCATGAGAAAATAATACAGCAGCTTCTGATGCTTTCAGAAACAAACAAACAAACAAAATGAAACAAAACAAAAAAGCTAGGAGCAACTATCCCTAAGGGCTTAATTTACAGACACAATGGGAGACACTTGGTCTGTGTAGCTTTTAATGCTACCTGAATTTCTACTCTCCCATTTGCTGTTTATTACTGCTAGCAACAATCTGGCTGCCAGTATTTAATGCCATTGGCCTGAGCAAGTTTAATTGGCACAACACACACAAAAAAAAAAAACAGCTGTGCCTCTAACAGTCTTATTTTCAGTAAGGTTCCCAGTGTTGCTAAAACCAATGGAAATGCCTGTAGTGAAGTTTACATAGATTAGAAAAGTCAGAAAAATTGTAACAGAGACAGCAACTGACTTTTACCCTTCTGCATCTTTCCTCAGACAGCCTCAGACGTAACTCTTGAGAAGCCCAGTTAGTAGTGTTCCCCCCAGAGAGGTTTGTTCACTCCAATGTTTCTTCTCATGCTGGTTTTAGGCCATTTGTTTCTGAAAAAATCTGTGGCCATATAACAAACTTTCCTTCTTCTCTGGCACATAATTTTAGGAAAGTAAATAGCCTAAGAGTGGCATTGGCTTAAAATGTAATGTTCCTTTTCTTTAAAACACATAGAAAATAAAATTTAATATCATTTTTGGTGTATGCTCTTTTTTTATGTGGTTTACATGGCCTAGGAAGTAGAAGGGTGCAGATAATTTCATAGTGACAGTAATGAAGCATCCAGATTGCCAAATGCCATTCCATCTACAGCATGACAGGTGGCCATTTTCCTTGGGCTGCTCATTTTTGGATGTATTCTACTGCACTTGGACCAGAGTAATATCATTAATACAGTTTCAAATATTCTCTTCTAGCATCTTTTCACTCTTCCAAGTTTGTAGTTATATTTTGTCTAGAGACTGAATTGATAAGAGCACTCTGTTGTTGCATTCAATTTGCCAAATTTCTTGAAGGCACTGATGCAACCAAAACACTGTTTAACAGAAATAAAGATTGCAGCAATATAGCTGAATGCAAACAGCAAATTTTGAACATCATACTGGAGCTGTTTGTACAGATGAGAACTCAAAAAGGCTGCTTGTTCAAGTCCTGAGAATTGGCTTCTTAGCTTTATCGAGACGATATTAATTTAACTTTCCCTTTATAATATTTGTCCTGCAAAGAACTCCGTGTTAGTCTGGCAACATAGTTATTAGCAATAAAATAAAATAAATGAGAAAATAACATTAATTTCAAACCATAAATTATTTGATGTTAAAAGAAAGAAAGGCATAAGGATAAATACACACATTACCTTTGTTGCATGGAAGTATTTCTCCATCTTGAAGGTTTTGAAGAAGAAACAAATTTTAAAAAATTCCAAGTAATGGCCGAAGTAAGTAAACACAATAGTAATAAAACCACATAACTTATTCCTGGTTTAATATTGTAAATACTGTTAATTTTTAGTTATTCTAAACTTAATTACTAAGCACCACCATTGTGGATTTTATTGAGTAAAATCCTGAGTGGTTTAAAGCTGGTTCTGAAAGAGTATCTCTCTCTTCTTCCACAAAGTATTCTTATAGATGGGGATCTTAGGAGGGAATAAGCTTTTGCTCTCTGGTAGGGAAGTGTATCTCTTCTTTTTTGTTCATAGACGTGCCAGAGTCTGCTGACAAATCTGCTTTCATGTCTGCTGGTGTTCAGCAAGGCTCCAAGGAAAAGTCAATGAGAATATCTTTCACAATTATTAGAGAATATGCTGCAGCATAGAAAATGCACACTAAGAAAAGAGGTTCATTGTACTTGAAACTTTTCTGTGATAAACCTGTGTTACCAATCCTCTGCATGGGGTTGTATTAAATGATCTCCAGAGGTGTTTTCCAAACCTGTCTGATTCAGTGATTCTATGATTCTGTAACAGTCTTTTCTGTCTATTGTCATGAGTCTTCATATGTGCAACAGCATAACTTGCATTCAATGTCTCAGGGTTACACAATCTACACACATACACAAAGTATGGGATGGGAAATGTACCCAAGCATCACAGGAAAGGGTGTTGCTATTGATTGCTGATCAAGGAATGTCATTTCCAAATGTGTGATTCTGCTTTGCCTTTGTGGCAGTAGAATAGTGCCAGATTCCTTCCCGCCTTGCATTTTGACGCATCAGATAATGCCCCAAACAAGAGACAGGTTACAATGCTGTGGTTTGAAGGCGTGACTTTTCTTATTGCCCAGCTGTGGTGCTGACAGGAAGGACAAATGCAACAATCCCACTCTGACAGTTTTTACATGATGATTGTAAGCTGATAAACTTAATTGTGGGGTTGTTAAATTATTAAGATTCCAATACTGCAGTCTCTACTGCTGCCCTCTTTGCTGTGAGCGCACCTTTTGAATTGCTAAGATTCTTTTGGGTTACTGCTACCCTCCCTTGAGGATGGACCTCAAGTTAGTACAAGTCACTTCTGTCAAAGGAGATGTTGACTGGCAGATCAAATTTTTAAAGAAAAGAAGCTTGCTTTTATCTCTGGACAAAAAGGCACACCTTAATGGCTTCTGCATCTTTCACAGCAATGGAAGTTGTAGAGCTGTGTGTATTACATGTGAGGGGGGAAAAAAAACCACCACCAAAATAACAGAAAACTCAGAAGATGAGCATTATGCATTGTAGGGTAAACATAATTCATTTAATCCCTTTACTCAGCTGTTGTTAATGGTCAAAATCTGCCCTGCTACATGAATTCCACTGATCACAAAAAGCAAGCAGTACAAAGTGACTGCTGATGTGAAAAGCCTGTGTTCTCTCGATGTTGCTGCTTGGCGTTGCTACAGACAGGGTAGTGAAGCGGATAACACATATTGGCATGGGTAAGTGGCAAGTGTTGCTGAAGACCTAGATTTTGTTTGTAGAGCAAACATCCACAACACACAGAAAGACCCAGCCTAGCAGACCAACCAGGCCTCAAAGCCAATTATGAAAAATGAAATGTAGTTGGAACACTGTTGTGTGGTAATGAGGGACAGGATGGAAGCCGTTAATAAAGAAAATAATTTACTTATTTCATAGCTGAACATTCACTGGAGACTCCAGAAAATAAATACATTGACAAAGCAAGG